GGGGGGGGGGGGGGCGGAAGACCAGGGGAGGTATGCCTTGCCTCCGGCAGCCCCCCGCCCCCCTCGGACCCCGGACCCTGGGCCTCTCGATGCTTCCAAATGCCCGCACCCGGACTCTCGGTCCTCTAATTCTCGCCGACGACCGGGCGGTGTGGCTTGGCCCCTGTGTGCCACATTCTCCGGGTGTGGGGCCACCGCATTTGCCTTGTCCTGCCCCCCCCCCCCCCCCTCCGGTCTGCCCAGGCGGGCTCAGAGGCCGGGTGCCGGCGAGCATGGCTGCCGACGATGCGGCCACTCATGCACACGCACGCACTCTCCCGCGCGCGCGCCCTCCCGCATATTTGTATGCACAATCCAGAGACGAGCAGACCGGAAAGGGGCACACGGCCACCGGGCCTCAGCCCCATCGGAGCCCCATGCCCGGGAAGCCCGCTGCCCCCCCCCCCCCCCCTCAGAGTGCGCAGGTACAGGCATGTTCTGGGAGGGTGTTCGCGCGCACGCCGTCCCTTCCCCCCCTTCCCACATATTCTACACGAGCATAGCAGGCGGGCCGGCGAGGGGTGGGTGGGCTGTTGGTGTGTCTCCCGCTTCCCTCCACGCCGTCCCCCGTCGGTAGGAGAAGGGCGACAAGAATCCTGTTTTCAGGACCACACCAGCTGCCGGGGTGCCTCTCGCACCGAGAGGGCACAGAGTCTCTCCCCGGCTGGCATTTTCTCCTCCTGCCCCGCGCTTGGACTACCTTTCCTCCCCCCCTCCCCTCCCACACTCTTTACCGTAAGTCGCCCCTCCTCCCGCCCTCTCCTCCCATGCGTCCCCTGCCCCCCCCCCTCCTGCTCCTCGCTCCCCGCTCCCTGTCGTGCATTTTGCTCTTGTCCCCGCCCGCCCCCCTCATGGGCCTCCGTCGCCGCGGCTTCCCATCCTGCCGCGCTGCTGGCGCGGTTCCTGCCGTCACGACCATTGTTGTGGCCGCTGGCGCCGCTCCCGGCGCCGCCGCCACCTCATAGTTGACAGTGGCGCCGGCTGCGGCAGGGGCAACAACAGGGACAGCCCCAGCCCACCACCATCCCCATCATTGCCCCCCCCCCCTCCCCCTTCCTCCTCGTAGGCCGTCGCTCACGGTGTCGCCCACGCCCTCCCGACTAACCACCCAGCCCTCCCCTTTCGCCCGCGCTCAGATGGACGGAAAGTTCACTTCTCTCCACGCCCAGGCGGCCTCCCTCTCCATCGGTGGTGAGCGCATCTCCGGCGACGCCGTTCGCCAGCAGAATGGTGCGCCCACTCGCATTCTTCCCTCACATTCCTTTGTCGTGCCCTGATGGGGCTTCCCTTCTGTGCCGGCCATCACCTGTCGCCAGACACTCACCCCCCCCACCCCCCTTCCCCGCTCGCACCATGCCCTCGCATGTGCTCATATGTCACGCACATACCCCACCAGTCACCGCCGTCATGGCCATTGCCAACATCGTCAAGAGCTCCCTGGGTCCGCTCGGCCTCGACAAGATGCTCGTCGATGATATCGGTGTACGCCCCTTTCTTCAGCGCCATCCCGCGTCCTCCCTTCAGCCATCTCGCCCCCTCCCCCCTCCTTCCCCTCGGTCACTCACTCCCCCTTTCTGTGCTCTCGCTCATGGCCCCCTCTCCCCTCTCTCCCCCCCCCCTCCCCCTGGCCTGCAGGACGTCACCGTCACCAACGACGGCGCCACCATCCTCAAGCTGCTCGATGTCCAGCACCCCGCGGCCAAGGTCCTTGTCGAGCTGGCCGAGCAGCAGGACAAGGACGTCGGTGATGGCACCACCTCCGTGGTCATCATCGCTTCGGAGCTTCTGCGCCGCTCTTACGACCTGGTCCGCAACAAGATCCACCCGACCACCATCATCAGCGGCCTGCGCATTGCCAGCCGCGAGGCGTGCAAGTACATCGCCGACAACCTGACCACCAAGGTGGACGACCTCGGCGCCGACTGCCTGATCAACGCCGCCAAGACTTCCATCTCCTCCAAGATCGTCGGCTCCATCGACTCGGACTTCTTCGCCAAGGCCGTTGTCGACGCCATGCTGGCCGTCAAGACCATCGATGCCCGTGGCTCGGTCAAGTACCCGGTCGGTGCGGTCAACGTCCTGAAGCAGCACGGCAAGAGCGCTCGCGAGTCCATCGTCCTCGATGGGTATGCTCTCAACTGCACCCTGGCCTCCCAGAACATGGTCCGCTCGATCAAGGGTGCTCGCATTGCCTGCCTGGACATCAACCTCCAGCGTGCGCGCATGTCCCTCGGTGTGCATGTCGTCATCAACGACCCGGACAAGCTGGAGGAGATCAAGCAGAAGTACGTGGCTACCATGTGCCATGCCATGGTGATGGCGGCCGCTGTTTTTCTTCCTTTTGCTGGCCATTTCCCCTCCCCTCCTTGCGCCCTTGTTTCCTTTCCCCCCCCCCCTCTCTCTCTGACACACCTGTCACCCTTCTCTTCTTTCTCTCCCCTCCCCCCTCTCGCCCTCGCCCTCGCCCTCGCGCACGCACAGGGAGATCGACATCACCCGCCAGAAGATCCACAAGATCCTGGCCTCCGGTGCCAATGTCATCCTCACCACCAAGGGCATCGATGACTCGTGCATGAAGTTCTTCATTGAGGCCGGTGCCATGGCCGTTCGCCGGTGCCTGCGCGAGGACCTCGAGCGCATTGCCACCGCCACCGGGGCTTCGCTCATTTCCACCCTCGCCGACCTCGACGGCGAGGAGACCTTCGACGCGTCGCTCCTTGGCCACGCCGACGAGGTGTCCCAGGAGCGCCTGGCCGATGATGAGCTGATCCTCATCCGCGGTACCCGTGCTCAGGGGTCCTCTTCGCTGATCCTGCGCGGCCCCAATGAGTTCATGCTGGACGAGATGGAGCGCTCCGTGCATGATGCCCTGTGCGTGGTCAAGCGCACCCTCGAGTCTGGCCGTGTGGTGCCCGGCGGTGGCTGCGTCGAGTCGGCCCTGTCCATCTACCTGGAGAACTATGCCACCACCCTCGGCTCGCGCGAGCAGCTGGCCATCGCCGAGTTCGCCCAGGCCCTGCTCATCATCCCCAAGGTCCTGTCGGTCAATGCTGCCCGCGACTCGGTGGATCTGGTGGCCCGCCTGCGTGCCTTCCACCATGCGGCCCAGACCGACCCGGCCCATGCGCACCTCCGCCACAGCGGCCTGAACCTGGTTGACGGTGAGATCCGCGACAACCTGGCCGCCGGTGTTCTGGAGCCCGCCATGTCCAAGATCCGCAGTCTGCGCGCCGCCACCGAGGCCGCCATTGCCATCCTGCGCATTGACGACCTGATCAAGCTGGAGCCGGAGAACCCCGAGGGCGGTGCTGGCGGCCACGCCGGTCATGGCCACTAAATGTGTGCGCGTGTATGTGTGTGTGTGTGTGTGTGTGTGTACATGCACACTCACACCCACACCCACACTCTCTCTTTCTCACTCACTCACGCGCAGAGCCCCCACACGGGCGGTCTGTGTATGTGTGTATGTGTGTGTGTGTCTGTGCGCATCGCTGCGCGCGCGCGCGCGCGCCGCGTCCTGTCCTTGCCCCCTCTTCTCCACCTGGTCGCTTTCCTTCTGTCTCCCTCTCTTTCTTCGATTGTTTCGCTTGGCCGTTGTTTGTGCGGGCTGCGCCCGGCGTGCGGCCCCCCCTCCCCACCTCCCCTGGCCTCCTCTTCCTCCCCTCTCCCCCCTTTAGACCGCCCCCTCTTGTACAAGTTCGTTCTTGGGAGCAGTTGATGTTCCGGGCAACCCCCTTCTCCGCACAGCAGCGCCTATGTTCATGTCCCCTCCCTTCCTCCACTATACTTCTAAAATATCTTACTCCATCCCGTCTTCCCGGAGGGGGGGGTGGGCATCAGAGGGGGCCGGGACGCGGGCGGGTGGGGGTGGTGGTGGGGGCGTGCACGATGTGCCTGGGGTTTGAATGCGGGAGGCGGGGCGGCGGTCCAGCCGGCATTTCTTCCCCTTTCCCGTGCCATTGGTGGGGCCCCGGGTGTGGGTGCGAATCTTAACCGAGGGAATCTTAACTGTGGCGAGCTCCGTGGGGTGGCCGGGGCCGGAGGCAGCGACTGTCGTCTCTCAGGACCTGGCTGTGGGTGGGCATCTCTGCCCTTCCCCATGGGGGTGGGCTTGGAGAGGCCTGGCAGTCTTGGGAAAGGACCGGTGGGCGTGCGGGAATTGCCCCCGCCCACCCCTCCCTCGCCCCGCGTCCCCCCCTCCGGGACCGGGAGAGCCAAGGACACCTGCTGGCCAATATCGGCGCGCAGGGCGGGGCTGCGGGCATGCTCCGGCACACCCTCCCCCCTTTGGGTGCGGGCTTCTTCCCAACGCGGAGGTCTGGGGACGGGCGGAGGGCGGCGTGCCCCCCCTCGATCAGGAGCTGGAGTCCATTAATTGTGTGCCAGCCGCCGCGCCCAGGTAGCCCGTGCTAGCCTTGGCCAGGCCCTTGGTCGGCGGGTCAGCCAGGCGCAAACGGGCGTCTCCGTCCTGGGGGAACGCTGAGAGAGCACCCCCCCCCCCGTAAGGCCAGGACGTCCGGCCCTCCTGCTTGACGCGGGGTCGATCGTCGACCCGTCGGCCCACCCGCCTCGCCGGTCTGTCCGCGCGGCAAACGGATCGCCATGGCTCTTGGCTGACCGCCGTGATATGAGACGACCCGGTCCTGGCCACCCCCCTCC